AAACAGAGGGAAGTTTTCGAGACATGTGTGTTCGAAGTACCTACGTCGAAATTTACGATGCTCTATTAAGATATTTATCGTAAAATGAAAATAAAAACAATCTCTTTATTTGTAAGAAGTCAGTTGTTTTTATTGAGAGTCATAAATCTACTGTATTTCATACTTATCTTTTCCATACCAATACTGTATTTTTTTTAATTCAAGCTGAGTTGTACAAATACGGAGAGCTATAATGAGATTATTATTTTCTTAAGAAGAAAAATAAGTTTGTCTGGGCTATCTCATACAGAACGTCTATGCTAAATCGTAATGCTTTTTAAATAATACATTTGATTCCTGCTTTCTTCTACCAAAGGATCTACAAATTGACGGGTAGTTCATGAACCAACGCGTGACCCAAGCATATTATATTACGGGAAATATAACGTTCTTGTCATTCTTGTCATTTGTTCTGAATTATAAAGTTAACGCGAGTGAAATTGCAAGGCGCGTCTAGTCCATATAAAGAATGTTTCTTTTTTTCTATATCGTTGGAGAAGGTGAACGGGCTCTCGGCTTCTTGATATGAAATAGAAAGCATTACATCGTGAATGTCATCATCAACCTTGAGAAATAAAATCTTCCTTTTTGTATTGTAAATAGGTCCCCCTTCTAAATCGCAACGGATGACTGCTTCACGGCACATATTGTCAGAATACTGTTACTGAAGACTTCTGGACTCCTGTTTGGTCTTCCAGCGATCAATCCGGTCGTACAAACCCGACTTACAGAGTATTAGCGTCGCATATCTTCACTGTTTAATATATTGTGAAATTAATTTAAAATAAATTAAAAATTTTTTACCGTAGAAGAGAGCTACAACAAACAAAATGATAAGGTGTACGCACACAGTAGTGAAGAAGCGAGCAACCGTATTCCGCGTGTCCAACGAGGTCATTTTCCATCCTCGCTTATGGTATGGTTGGGAGTTTCTTATTGGGGCTTAATAGAGGTACATTTTTGTGAGAAAGGTGTAAAAACGAATGCAGTTGTGTATCAAAATACAGTCCTGACGAACCTTGTGGAACCTGTTTCTCATACCATGTTCAATAACAGGCACTGGGTATTCCAACAAGATTCGGCGCCAGCTCATAGAGCGAAGAGCACACAAGACTGGCTGGCGGCGCGTGAAATCGACTTCATCCGGCACGAAGACTGGCCCTCCTCTAGTCCAGATTTGAATCCGTTAGATTACAAGATATGGCAACACTTGGAGGAAAAGGCGTGCTCAAAGCCTCATCCCAATTTGGAGTCACTCAAGACATTCTTGATTAAGGCAGCCGCCGATATTGACATGGACCTCGTTCGTGCTGCGATAGACGACTGGCCGCGCAAATTGAAGGCCTGTATTCAAAATCACGGAGGTCATTTTGAATAAACTTTAGTGTCATAAGAATCTGTTTTGTTAAGTTCATTTTGGTATATGAATAGTTACATAATGAATAAACTTGTTTCAATTATTTTACATTAAGCATGTGACAGAATTTATGACCTGACTAGGTACTTACATGACATATACGGGGTGTTCTAATAAGAGGTTTCGATCTTGTGATTTAATTTAACTTTTAATTTTTTTCTTTGGAGTTTGTAGAAAGAGTAGGAGCCGGTGGCCCATAATCGATTGATCGAGATACAAGTGGACAATACGTCCTTACGGAGCCATCAGATCCAATAATTCTTGCATATAGACGCAATAAAGACGCCTTCAGCTCTAACACTAGGAGCAGACTTAGGGACCCCGGTAATCGTACTCGTCGAACTCGGCAAAAAGTTCGACCTGGAAAGTAACCCATACATCAGCCCGCTGAGTTTTTCGCCGGGTCTTCTCAGCGAGTTGCGACTCCGATCCGGTAGTAGATTCATTCGCGAAGTAGTTGCTCTTGAGTTGTTAGATCTTATTCGGAGGCACTCGGGCAGCGGCTAGCAAATTCCACCCCTCCTGGTTGAGCCTTTGCTCGCCCACCTGGTGAAATTGGAAAGGCCTCCGGGCCACCAGTAGTCCTTCAATCATAACAAAAAACAAGTGGACGATTTTATGAAAATAATATGGTCCTGTAAACGTTACAGTTGCACACCCTCTACTTAACAATTAAATAAACATCCAATGATTTCGCTTACAAATAATCGCTTTTTTTACATTACAAAATGAAGCCTCTTTTTTTTTCCACAGGAGAAAATCGTCGGTTTCTCACCCGCACGGCAGTTGGGATATGTGGGAGTCGAACCTCACAAAAATTAGTAAAAGAATAGTCTCTAATAATTCCAATGCCTAAGAATTTCTTGCCAATTTCGATTTTGTGAATTTTATACAGCGCTGTATTGAATTACAGGTTCACGGCTCACCTGTTATTAATTGGTTACGAAACTCAAAGACATTGCGACATGAATATCTTTTTTTTGTTTTTTTTTTATTGCTTAGATGAGTGGACGAGCGCACAGCCCACCTAGTGTTAAGTGGGTACTGGAGCCCATATACATCTACAACGTAAATGCGCCACCCACCTTGAGATATAAGGTCTCAGTATAGTTACAACGGCTGCCCAGCCCCTCACACCGAAACGCATTACTGCTTCAGGGTAGAAATAGGCAGGGTGGTGGTACCTACCCGCGCGGACTCACAAGAAGTCCTACCAGCAGTAATTACGCAAATTATAATTTTACGGGTTTGATTTTTATTACACGATGTTATTTTCCTTCACCGTGGAAGTCAATAGTGAACATTTGTTGAGTACGTATTTATTAGAAAAATTGGTACCCGCCTGAGATTCGAACACCGGTGCATCGCTCAACAAGAATGCCAGACGTCGGACGTCTTATCCTTTAGGCCACGACGACTATCGCCACAAAAGTAATATATAATGTGAAATTTCCAATTGTATTCTACAATGATTATTCCACCCATCAAACTCATGATTGTTTTATGAAAACACGCCGAAAGGTGGTACATACATACTTGTGTAGGCTATAATACGCCGAAGCAAGGGTTAAATAAGCTACGGATTCGCGTAACATATTTGATGGTATATCCTTTAAATGCACGACAAATGCAAAGCTGCAATTTTCCTAAAATTTCTGTACGTAAACAAAAAACTATGTATTTCGGAAGTTGATGAGAAAGCATTTGAAATATTGAATTTCATAATCTTGCAGCCTTTGTTTTATAAAAAAGTGTTTGTTTATTTTCAGAGTCAAATTTAGACTGAGGTTTCTTTTTCATCGGGCATCAATCATATCGCAACGGTATAATGAAGTTTTTACGGAAATGTAAACTAACTATTTAACCATAAAACTGTCAACAACAAAAGCTACCGTTAACCTTTTTGCCTATGAAGGCATGCATAAGGTTCATTTAATCGTCAGTCATGCTGCTCCTGGCGTCGTATTCCTCAATGCTGAGGGTCGTGATCACCCTTCTGTATCACTCTCTCTCTCGTACGATTTTTCTCCATCTCTTTCTGTCTCTGGCTGTGTGGAGGGCGTTGTGAAATGTGGAATCAAGAGCAGTGCTATACATCTTATATGTTTATGAGTGACTATAGCTCTTACATATATTAGGATGTGCGTAGTTTTAAGCAACATGCTGTTTGTTACTCGTGATGTGAAACGCCTAGTCGTACAGGGAAAGGTAGTCGGTAAAAACCGCTTGATAAAAAACGTAGCGTTGGTAAACAATTTAATTATTTCTTCAGAAAAAGTCTTACATGTTTTTCACATCGGAAAATAGTTTTCATTTTTATTAGTGCGACACGATTGAATTTTCTATTATCATCGAAAATACAGGATGGTATTAAAGTTGTTGCAGAACAAGAATAAATTCAGGTAATTAGGTCAGAAGAAGTAATTAATAAACTTATGAGTGCGGACGTATAACTGTGAAAACATATAGAAAACATTATATGTTTATAAAATGTAATGTGACAGGTATGCATATATAATTGTTATATAATTATTATTTTGCATATACAATATGTAGGTACACATAAGTTACATCCAAACATAAATTAAAGTACATACAGTTGAAATAACCCGACTTACACATACAATATATATGTATTTTTGGATGAATTTTATTAATAATACGAAGATGTTTAATTCTTTTAAAATGTAATTACATCGACTATTATTTACAGAATTGAATACATAATTATACTTCTATTTAATAAATAAATCATTTAAGAACGAATACCATATTAAAAATATATTTTCATCCCCCTGAATCTGTAATTGAATAGAATACTGAATCAAAATGCCTTTACCAAATCAAATGTGCGCGATACATTCTAACTAATTTAATGAAAAAGTAATGTTTCATTTTATAAAAATTATTTAATTTGGCTACACAAAATTCACTTAACGTACTCTAGGAGTCAGTGATTAAGTAATTAACTTCTCAAGAATTCTAAATTACCTATATTTTGATTGGTGTTAAATGTTGACGTAATACAATTACATATAATTAGTTGGAGAGGCGTTTGAGGTTGAATTTTCAATCGACAGTGCGTTCAAAGCTTGAAAACTGTTATATTGTAATAATAACTTTATTTTTTATAGTTAATAAAATCTAATATATGTGTTCCAATTTTATTGTATTATGAATAAATTCACTAATTATATTGCCACGAGACACCAGTAAAACTTCAATTAGTTCATAACATATTACATACATTTTATATTTAATTGAATCTATAAAAGATTAGATTACCGTAATAGAACTACCTTACAACAATCCAGTCACTGTTTCCATTCTAGATTATCACTTTCTTCTAATTCATCACTCGTTTACTAACACTTAAAAGATTAAACATTGGCGTTAATACTCCATCTACTCTATATGACACATATATTAAAATGTAGCTACGTTTAGGAATGTGTAATTCACAGTTAAACTTAGGTATATCACATAAGAAACGTTTTAATACTAGACATCAACTCGAATTAGAGGAACGATGATATGAGGCGGCTGTAAACTGAGAATAGTATCACGTATCCATTAAGATTATAGGATCATGAGTGTATTTGTATTACGAGAGCTTAATAATTAAATTTGACAGTATTTAGATGAAAATTTAGAAGATAGTGACAACATACACGTAAATCGAATATAAAAGTCTTATAAAAACGTTATTCATAGATTAATGCGTACGTTCGGCTGATTCTGTGCGGTGTTTTGCATCAGGAAAAATGTTATCTACTAGAAGATATGCACAGAGAACACTGACGTCTAATCTTATAGTTGCCGACACCGCACTTTTCTGAACGACGCTCGATGTTAAAATAACTTAGCAGATTTAGGTCGAGCGTACTGATACAGTGAAGGAATTCGCGTACTGCCTCTTGTCCTAAATCTGCACGATATAAAAGAATTTAAGATATAATGCACGAATTGCGTTTGCTGTGTCGCTCTCGTATCTGTTGGAGGTGCGCGAGCTGAGCCGCGGAGGGGACGTGGGGCTGATGGCTCGGCGTCGATGGGGTCGGGCTGGTTCCCGGCGCGCCCTGTGGTCCTGTCGGCAGCGACTGTCGCCGGCGTCGCCTCAACGCGGGCGACAAATTGTACTTAACCTTCGCCTGTACCAATAGCTCCTTGAAGATCTGCGATACGTTAATATTGTCTTTGGCGGACGCTTCCACGAAACCGTTTTCCCAATCGACTGTGACTACTGATTCTGTTGTGTGGAACTCCACCTGTGGACAGGGTGAGAATTTCAAATTGAATGCGCATATTACGAGCTCATCTCAAAATTCAATATGTAGAAGGGAATACCAATTCACTGTCCACCAAGTATTTCTTTATTTTTATTGCTTATATGGGTGGACGAGCTCACAGCCCACCTGGTGTTAAGTGGTTACAGGAGCCCATCGACATCTACAACGTAAATGGGCCACCCATCTTGAGATATAAGTTCTAAGGTCTCAGTATAGTTACAACGGCTGCCCCACTCTTCAAACCGAAACGCATTACTGCTTCACGACAGAAATAGGCGGGGTGGTGGTACCTACCCGTGCGGACTCACAAGAGGTCCTACCACCAGTAATTACGCAAATTATAATTTTGCGGGTTTCATTTTTATTACACGATGTTATTCCTTCACCGTGGAAGTCAATGTTGTTTATTTTTTAATAATAAAAATAATTATATTTTTGTTGTTTAATAATAATCATATAATAATATGTAATAAAACGGGTATTATTATTTAAACATTACGTTCGCTGCCAATTTAGTCATGTAAGCAAGCGTCCGTTACTTTAAAAGATCAAGACTTTTAAAATATAGCACATTATCTTAAAGCCAGCCATTACTCAGTCAAGCTCCATTATCGAGGCCAAGAATCCTGGTCATTTATCTTCAGTCTGTCCGTAACCGAAAAACGCAACAGCTTTACGGGTGGCATACGTAATGAATTTTCAGTAAATCCAAAGTTTTTTATTTATCTTTTGTTGCTAAGATGGGTCGACGAGCTCACGGCTCACCTGGTGTTAAGTGGTCACCGAAACCACGTCAATACGGTCGCCCATCTTTAGCTATGAGTGCTAAGTCGTCGTTTTTACTGTACAACGGCTGCCCCACCCTTCAAACCGACACGCAATGCTGCTTCACGGCAAAAATAGGCAATGTGGGGATACCTACCCGGGCAGGCTCACATGACGCACTACCACCAGTAAGTTACGCGTGTATTGAAACCTCTGAAATGATGGTAGGTGCTGAAGCTGCTAATCCCTGATACGATACCAAATACACACATACTATCGTAAGATATATTATATACCTATATTTAACCAGTGGTTTTAATGTGGCACGCAATGGAATCCGATTGTAATAGCACGCAGGGAATTCGCCTAGAATCCTCTTGCTTCTTTAACGGTCCATATTAATGACATGTGAAGTCGTCGTGGCCTAAAGGATAAGACGTCCGGTGCATTGGTATCTAGATGCAACGGTGTTCGAATGCCGCAGGCGGATACCAATTTTTCTAATGAAATACGTACTAACAAATTTTCACGATCGATTTCCACGGTGAAGGAATAACATCGTGTAATAAAAATCAAACCCGCAAAGTTATAATTTGCGAAAATACTGGTGGTTGGACCTCTTGTGCAATAAGAAAAAATATAAAAAATATGAACCTTCTAAGTAGATATGTCATTATGTATTTGCTTAGCTTAGTAAGTTATTATTATTTATAGGGCTGTGGTATTTATTGTGGTTTTAGTTTCTAAAGCAGTTTCTTTATACCTTTACAAAAATAATGGATTTTGCGTTCGGCAGACTATCAAGCTGTTCACAATGGGTTACATGGGTAAGTGGACAGATAAGCACAAAAAAATCTTATTCTCCAATTATGGAGGGTAGAGGTAAGGAGAACCGTCTCTGTGTGTGAAAAAGTGTCTGTTGAAATCTGTTAAATAAGGGTGGCGCTAGAGTAGCAACCGGGTAAATTAAAAAAAGACGCTGAAAGTTATTAGAATAAGATAGAGAAATAAAAAAGGACGAAAGAACTGTAAGCACTACAAAATCACAAAAAGTAATTTATTTAAAGCTGATAAGAAAATGCAATCGATGTCTCCACGTTTTACCACAGCGATAATTTTAGGTTATATTGACGAAATTAGTTTGGACTACGTAAACATGCGAGGTCTTGTATATTACACTGTCACTAACTACTCCAGTAATTAAATATATTAAATTTCCTAACTCAGCATACTTCAATCAGTTAACAGCTGCTCAATTCATATCATACCCTGTGCCTATGCTAGCGCCATTCTGGAGAATTATTGAACTGTTATTTAGTGATGAAATTGGGACACTTTTTGAAGCTTCTTCCACATGAGACGGTTCTCCTTACTCTATTCGCCATATCTCCAATGTAGATTGATTTTTTTTAAATGCTGTTGTGGGTAACCATCGTACTAGGCAATATATTTCACAGATGCCTGATCGTGCTTACGAAATTTTCTAACAAACGTGTAGAGTGGGGAATATTCAACATGTTCTACTTTTGAAATTAGATCAAGCAATTTGTCAGAGTAATGCCAAAACCATAAACGACAATCTTGTCGTGCTAGCTAAAACTAAAGTAAATTTCGGGCAACCGCGCGTGAACTCAATAAAGAAGTACAGACACATACATTAAAATTATCTCGTACGTAAGCAATTAGCCAACCCGAATATGCCAATGCGTGTGGCAGTTTAACGACTTTTCATAAGATTTATTACCTGAACTCGTTTTATGAGTTAATGCTTGGCATTTATTTATTTAACAGACTAGCGAATTTATAATAACAGGGGTTAGGGTATGAAATTGCCGTTCTATTGTTATATATAGTTACTTCGAATTGACATAGAAGCTTCATGGTTTGAGATTTTTGTGGATTTTCGAAATTTTGATTTCAAGAAAGAATCATATGGAAGACCGCCCACACAACTGAATAACAATGATTTGAAAGAGATAGTGGAAGCCGATCCGAGCCAAACTACCCAGAAATTAGTGACATGGCTTTACGTTACCTTACTAACAATACTGACCCATTTGCGCCAAATCCATAAAAAACAAACATGAAAAATGGGTGCCTCATGATTTAACTGATCTGCAGAAAGAAATGCGTGTTGAAACTTGTGTTGCCTTGTTGAATTGATACAGAAATGGAGGAATATTGGATCGAATTGGGACATGTGATGAAAAGTGGATTCTTCAATCGTAAGTGAAAAATGCAATGGCTGACCCCAGGTCAAACGCCGCAACAGTGTCTTAAAGCAAAGCTTATCAATAAAAAGGTAATGGTAACTGTTTAGTGGTCTCAGCATGGTGTTATTCACTATAGCTTTCTCCAATCTTGTCAAGCATTAGCGGCAGATGTCTACTGTGCTGAACTCTGAACAATGATTGCAAAACTTACTGTGAAACAGACCCGAGTCATGAATCGATCTTCAATATTATTGCTCCATGATAACGCGAGACCTTATACAACACGAGACACCGTTTTAACTCTACCAGAACTGTTATTAAAAAACAATCGTCACCCTTCGTATTCGCTAGACCTTGCTCCAACGGACTACCATTTTTTTCATGATTTGGACTATTTTCTACGTGATAAAAAGTTTACTTCCCAGGAGGCAGTACAAAATGTTTTCAAACAGTTTTTAGGATCTAGATCACCAGAGTTTGATCACAAAGTCATAAATGACCTTCCTATTAAATGGCAGCAATGTATAGATAATAATGGTAGCTATTTTGATTAAATAAATATGTTAAATAATAAAAAAATCAATTTTTCAGTACAAATCGGCAATTTTATACTTTAACCCTTAATATTATCAAAGGGATTGTAAACCTACATTAATTAAATTCGTTTGTCCAGAGACCGAAGCTTGTTTTGTAGCGGTCAAGATAATTGATGAAATATTCCGCTAATCCGAGGAATTGTGGTGAGATATTGGAAAGCAAAACAGTGTCTTGATTTATGCAGTAATTCGATATAAAGAGGGTCTTGACTTTGTGTGTAACAAAATCATATCGTAATTAGTAGGGCATTGTGATTAAGACGTGTAGCTATGAGATATCTTAGTATGTGTCAAAAAAAGCCTTCGTAGCGAAACATTCCAATAAATATGAGACGATAAAAACTTGTGTTTGAAGTAGAGAATTCTCTGGAGTGAATCTCCGAGTGGAGTGAATTGAACTTAGTTCAGTTCAAACCGTTGAAGACACAAGTTTGCGCGTTCACTGCGAAGAAAGACTCATTTGTCATGTTGCTGCAATTCCAAGGAAGCAACCTTCCAAGAGTATTGGGATATTTGGGGTCGATATTTCGAGCGATGTCCAATTTCGGAGTCATTTGGAGGGCAAAGCCAAGTTGGCGTCAAAAATGCTGGGAGTTCTCAATAGAGCGAAGTGATACTTCATGCCTGGACAAAGACTTTTGCTCTATATAGCACAGCTCTATAAAGCACAGGCAATAAAAAAATGTGTGTGTGTGCAAGTCACATACGGTAGAAGTGAAACTTATAAAATTTAAAAATAACCGTAAGGATCAACTACTCCGCACTGCATAAGTGCAATGGAGCAGCCGCACCCCGGGGGAACCACCTGCATGGTCACAGTACCCCTACGTCAGGTAAGTATGATTTAGCAAGAGAAATATGAAAACGTCTATCAACTGTGTAACATCTCGTCACGGCGATTCAGGAATAGTTGAATTTACGTGCAGGGACATCTGTTGATAACAAACTAAATAGAAATAAAATAAAGTGGCGCGTAATGGAAGAAATTAAGATGGCGCGTAACCGAAAAACGTTACATACGTTTTTTTCTCCCTACGTCGATAAAGAACTTTCACTTCAAAAATATAAAAAAAGTATAACAATGGAATGGAAGAAAAGTTGCTTGTTTCGTTTTCCTGCTATTAAAAAAAGAAAGAAAGGGGGTGTGAAACTGGAGCTATTAAAAACAAACATAATTGTTTTTCTTCTCAGTGAAAGTTGGATTTTTTCAAGCTTGTTTACGGGCAGCGGTGCAGAAGGTGCACTGAGGCGGATATTGGAAAGTCAGCGGAGACTCCCGGCTATTATGCGCTGGGTTCCGGCGCGGCCTATCGTTCGGAAAACTCAACTCACTTGAAGCAATGTTAGCTACAGTTCCATAAATAGCGCCTCATTTAGAACCTGCTGTTTATTCGATGTTTATTGTTTTTTTACCGTTTTTTTTGTCGTTAGTTAGCTTAATCACGAAGGGTAAGTTACTTTAAAATTCAAGAAACCATCTATTCTTACATAAAGATAGTGCGTTTTTATCAGGAAATCCGGTAATGCGATTGTGGCCACCTTGAGCCAATATAATTCCAAAAGAGAGTTAAGGCCATATTCATAATGAGTTCAAAGGTTGCAAATATCAGGTTATAAAGACGCAAAAAAAAAATTACTATCACAACCTTTTTTTATTATTGCCCTTGTAGGCAAACGAGCATACGGCCCACCTGATGGTGAGTGGTTACCGTCGCCCACGGACTTCAGCAATGCCAGGGGCAGAGCCAAGCTGCTGCCTGCCTTATAATATAGCTCTATATATAGGGCCGTTTGGAGCCTCTGGGTCTGCGGAGGGACTTCGGTTCCCTCTGTATTTTGTACCGTATGTTCCATGGGGAGTGCTCTGAGGAATTGTTCGAGATGATACCGACATCTCGTTTTTACCATCGCACCGCCCGCCACCGGAGTAGGGTTCATCCATACTACCTGGAGCCACTGCGGTCATCTACAGTGCGTTTCCAGAGATCTTTTTGCCACGTACCATCCGGCTATGGAATGAGCTCACCTCCACGGTGTTTCCCGAGCGCTATGACATGTCCTTCTTCAAACGAGGCTTGTGGAGAGTATTAAGCGGTAGGCAGCGGCTTGGCTCTGCCCCTGGCATTGCTGAAGTCCATGGGCGACGGTAACCACTCACCATCAGGTGGGCCGTATGCTCGTCGGCCTACAAGGGCAATAAAAAAAAAGCTATCATAAAAAGGCTATCAAAAAGTCTTATTCGCTTAATCTTCATTTTTATTTTGCATAAAATTGGTTTCAGCCTTCTTACAAAGCACTCGGTTAATGTTTCCCAAACGCATGTAATTTACCATTTAGGTAACTAAAGTACGAGCTAACTACGTTGATTTTGTAAGACGAAAATTCAATTTGACGAAATTTCCAAGAAAGTTTCAAATTGAACGCGAAAAAATAAAGTTCACTTGGTTTTTTCTTCCTGTAAAGCAAAATTTTTCGTTGCTAAGTCTCTCATGGGCTTTAAGCTGTAGACTGGGCTGTGGATAATAAATTATCGTGGATTAAGTCAAGGCTTATAAATAGAAAGTTTACTTTTCTTTGCTTTCTTGTGGTTTACGGTTTTCATAATTTATTATTTCAATTTTGACAATGTTATTTGAAATATTAAAAGCCGTATTCTTATATTATATCTTACATTATATCTTTCTCTTTTTTTCCTACCTAAGCTGATGGTCTAGAGAGACCATGTCAGCGTCGCCGGGCTAGTAAGTGAGCTCACGGGGCTCAAACCTGACGATTTTGCTAACACGAACCCTAGCAAGAGCCGTGCTTCGCAGAATCTACCACCGGACCGGAAACGCGACCCACCAAGAAGATCCGGCGAGAAACTCAGTGGGCTGTGTCTGCGGGTTAATTTACTCGCCGAGTCCTTCGTCGCAAGCGGCAGGTTCGACGAGAACGATGACCGGTGCTTGAGGTACATTATATCATTTCATTTCGTTACTATCAGGTTGTTGTTCTTAATATAATTCTAACAAGCACCGAGGCTCTCGAACTAGTATTACTACTTCTCAATCGTTTATAACTAGGATTATATTTGTTTGCTAAGATTTATAAGGTAAAAACAAGAAATAAATAGAAACTTATATACCTTAAAATAAAATGGATAACGTTGGTAACGCGCTGAGGATCTGGTTGTGAGAACGGCAGATGTTCCATCGAGGATCACCGGTTTATAGTCATAGCTTCCATCGAGCGTCTATCTCGGTAGGTCAACATTCCAAATAGCCTAGCTTTCTTGTATGCAAGTCTATGTTAGAATTGTTGCTAGCGTGATTTACGCTTTGACGGATCTCTTTTGTTACATAATAGCTAACGCTACAGTTATTTTACAGATTCAACTATTATTAAAAATAATTATTTCGTAACAATAGTTTAACATAAAATAACAACGTATGCTTGGAAATGGGTACAAGGTGGCGTAGAAAGCACGACTTGCTATCTCTTTCTCACGCCTGGACTTTAATGATAATGAAATCACGTAGGTACTGACTGGATTTTGATTACGGTTTTTTTTATTGTTTACATATTTACTTTCGGTTTTGAGTACCAGAATATTGTGGTTCAATTAAGATACAAAAACGTGTCGACATCCTATTATTGCAATGTTTACTTTCTAAACTTTCACATCACCATCAAATCCTGAGCTCTTTGTTTACCTTAGGCTTTTATCGTTGGTATCTACGATGATATCGTGTATGTCTGACACAATATAAAAATGTTCCTAAGGACATATTTTATTGCACACTGGTTGGTGTCTTGAGAAAAATATACGTTGAAATGAAATGTTCTAGAAACTTCTACGTACTATCGTGCTATATTTTCTTGTTACTGTTATACTGACAGTTCGGAAATTCGATTTCGCTCACACTTCAGCTTCAGCATTCAATTGAAAATGAGATGCATTCTATCAAAAATAAATATATTTTACGTTTGTAACATTATCGTATTACTTTAGATATATTGATTAAACGAACATTTCGATGCACATATAAAATGGGTAAAAATTGTTTAGGTCCGTGTAAAAAAATCATATAAAAATCTATTAGCTACTTATATGTAGTGGTTCTTTTGAAATGGACACTTCAATATTCAACGAATGTTGTGTTAATGTGTTGTCACTAGTCACTGGCGGTAGGACTTCTTGTGAGTCCGCACGGGTAGGTACCACCACCCCACCTATTTCTACAGTAAAGCAGTAATGCGTTTCGGTTTGAAGGGTGGGGCAGCCGTTGTAACTATACTGAGACCTTCGAACTTACATGTTGTAGATGTCTATGGGCTCTAGTAACCACTTAACACCAGGTGACCTGTGACTCCTCCACCCATCTAAGCAATAAAAAAGAAGAACCACATCTAGTTTTTCTAGTTCTTTAATGTTTGTAAATCAGATACCATTATCGCCTTACCTAATATGCCTATTAAGCTATCTTTCAAAGTAAATTTTCGATAGTCGCAAATGTTTGAATAACAAACTGTATCATGATCCTAAAGTTTTTTCAAAGTAAACAAAATAAGAGTATTTGGAACATCACTAATTCTACGTGTTTAGTGAGCCGTGACTTGTGTGTGATTACTTAGTAATCCGTAGTTAGTTGGTATTCGCAGCTGTGAAGTCGCCCCCGGGGAGTATGTCTTGTGATGCGTGACACTCGCTCAACTCCCGCCTCAGTCACCGCTTTGTTGTTCCACCTAACTATATAATGTGTACACGTCCTGTGCGCGTTGGATCGTGAGAAGAAACCAATAACGAGTCTTACGACTTTGATCCGGAGCACATAAGCGATTGACGCTCTGAAGTTTGCTTATTTTCTTTAATACGCTTTTATTAGCTTCAGACGTATGTATGTATGTTTGTAACGGAATCTTTGAACATGATTTTGACCCCCCTGCAAAACGTCAGATTAACTCGAAATTTGGTATACTTATTTTATTTATTTATTTATGTACACACAGAAAACAAGACACAGTACAGAGTAATAGGAAAATTATGTACAAAGGCACTGCTTATTTCTTATTATACTTATTATTATATTTACTTATTAAGGACCGATGACAATTCAATATTAAAAAATTGAAAAAATTGAAATTCAACTAAAAAATAAAAAATAGTTTAAAAAAACTAACAAAATACGCTTTTATAGAAAATTCAACTAAAAAATAGAAAATAAATTTTAATAAATTTAAATTAAAAATAGTGTAAGAAAAAATGATTTTATTGTAAAAAAGCGTGGGGTGCTTTTCAGGATATTATCAAAATAACCCTTCTATTCACATCTATCTGTTCATAACATATTTATAACTACTTATACCATGCAAAATTTATTTTCTATTTTTTATATTTTATATTTATATTACTGGTGGTACCTCTTGTGAGTCCGCGCGGGTAGGTACCACCATCCTGCCTATTTCTGCCGTGAAGCAGTAATTAGTTTCGGTTTGAAGGGCGAGGCAGCCGTCGTAAGACTTGAGATCTTAGAACTTATATCTCAAGGTGGGTGGCGCATTTACACTGTAGATGTCTATGGGCTCCAGTAACCACTTCACACCAGGTGGGCTGTGAGCTCGTCCACTCATCTAATCAATAAAAAAAATAGGATTTTCTATAAAAGCGTATTTTGTTAGTTTTTTTAGACTCTTATTTATTTTTATTTCGCTCACCTGACGCGCGCCCGTCTCTGCCAGATCGACCTTGTTACCGACGACGACGATAGGAACGGCCGTGCTCTGTTTAGTTTCGTGTATCTGGTCTCTGAGAGCTCGGACTTCGGAGAAGCTGTTCGCATCCGTAATATCGTAAACCAATATGAATGCGTCGGCCGATTGCATTGACAGGGTACGCATTGCCGGGAATTCATACGATCCGGACGTGTCCAAAATGTCGAGAGTCAACCTCACACCGGATACATTGAAGTCTCCGTGATGCATTTCTTCGATGGTTCGCTTGTATTTGGTCGAGAAAGCGCCGTATAGGAATTGTGTGATTAGTGAAGATTTGCCGACTTTAGCCGCACCTAGTACCACGATTTTGTGCCTCACTGCGTTATTAGTGAGATTGGCGCTATTCGGTACTGTATCTTCTGTTCTTTCAGCCCTGTTAACAAACAAAATTATATTATTTTTACGTTTAAAAAATACTTATTTTAATGCTTTTTCTGTTGTCATTCGTTTCGGTTTGAAAGTTGGAATGACCGTTATACAATGCTATTGAAATTTCGACCGTACAACTTAAAGTGGAGGGTGGCATTCACGTTGTGAAGTCTTATAGGCTTCGTTAGCTAATTAACGTTCGTTGGACAGTCGGCTCGCATACTCTTACTGACTTATATTGCTTGTTTTCCAACCACCAACTCTTTAGTTGCCTACAAGTTTCACTCCTAATTGAAAAGCGTAGTAGACTTAAAGTTAATCATTTAATGTAAACAGAAAGTTGTAATGCGAACTGTATAAGATTCCGTATTTTTTTGGTAATTTCTTTGGTTTGAAATTCATGAGTCATAGACGAACAAGGTCAGTGTACCTTATGAAAGAAACATGGGTGCAGGCCGTCTTCCTAATTGATAAACACTTTTAGCCAAATGATACTTAAAATACACAGTAATAACATCAGATAAATAAAATACCAAAAGTTTTCACTTTTACTTAAAACGGTTTTTATATTATTTTATAGGTATTCTATATCTTATATCTCAAGGTGGGTGAAGCATTTACGTTGTAGATGTCTATGGGCTCCAGTAATCACTCAACACCAGGTGGGCTGTGAGCTCGTCTACCCATCTAAGCAATAATAAAAAAAACAAAGGAAAAAAAATCTTTTAGGAAATTTAGCAATTACAAAAGACTTATTTTTGAATGGAAATGGTTTTTTTTTTTTTTTTGGTCAGGAGGAAATCGCCGGACTTCCGCCCTCCACTGGGGATAAAGGGCGGAGCATGTCAGAGTCGAACTGACTAAAACCTCCTGTCGCTCAACAACCAACGTCCAAACCTCGCATGAGACAGAACTCATGAAAAGGCAAAGGGGGGAAAGTGAAGCGTTTAGTGCGGAGCACATCTCTCCCATCACCCTCCCCCTCGGGACGCCGGACTGGCGGTCGTCGGCGCCACGACCACCAGCCCTCTCGGTCGGCAGGCTATCCGGAGCCCGCCTAGATGGCGCCGGTTAGAGTGAGCTATCCTACGGAATACCCCGCTGGGTCAGAACCAGCGTGGGTCGAGGATAGCCGGCCTTCCATCACCCGGATGCTCTTGCGTAAAACGCGTGCAGAGCAGCTTGCACGTCGTCTTCTTAGGCCCCCCTCGCCGGTCCCCAGACCGACATGTGAGGGGGGACCCGAAACACTTAGAGGGCCAGGGCTTGGGCGAGATCCGCCTCCCTGGCCCCCGCTCGACGGCGGCGGGATTGTGCGTCTCTCACGCGCCCCGCCGCCTCCTTCTGCGAGATGGTGCACTCGCAGAAGTCGAGCATCGCCTTCCACGACTCGTCGTCGCCGAGCATCGATGCCACAACACTCGGCAACGACAAGTCGTTTCCTACTTTTGCGACGAGGACACGGCGCCACCCCTCCCATGCGGGGCAGGCGACGAGCGTATGCTCTGCCGTGTCCAAGTCGCAATCACAATGGTGGCACTCTGCCAATGGAAATGGTTAACACTTTTAATTACACAACGGTGGGCAGCGACTTGGCTGTGCCCCGGGCATAACCGACTCACTTCCTTGAGTGAAGGTAGCCAAATTCAAATTACTTTTGAGAGATAAAAATAAAATACATGAAAATACAAATACCGGAAGACTTCGTAGTGCCTCAATTGATAAATAAAAGTCCTAAACTTTTGTATAAAATAAACTTAAAACAAATAAAAGGAATCCGTTCGACAGGAGACACGTCAAAGGAAAAACAAAATTGTTATTTTTATTTAATTTTGAGCATTTTCACCTTTTAATCCTTCTCTGGACTTCAACAAATAATTCACGACCAAAATTAGCCAAATCGGTCCAGCCGTTCTCGAGTTATAGCGAGACTAACGAACAGCAATTCATTTATTTATATATAGATATATTACAGTTTGTAAAAGGTCATTTTGGTGTCAGTACGATCATTGCTTATCGCTTTTTGCGTCCTGTCACGATGCTTATCATACAACAAATAATATCGTATCGATCAATACCGCTCCGGATTCATCGCGCCGTATGGCATTTTTACCAGCTAATGCCGGTCTGCTGCGTAAAAACGTTTTTAACTACATAGCGTAAATCATTGTGTATAATAGCGTTTACTAATTTACTTCTACTAGCTTACTAAGTAAGTAAGTAGCGTTTATCGTTGTGTATTTCTAAGTAACACGTCCAACAAAGTCGTGCCTGGTATTGCGAATTCGCACGGGTAGGTGCCACTTCAGAATTTGGGAGATTTAAATTTATTTCTAAATGGTATCATTGTGATGTGTATGTATGGGCACTGAAAACTAAATACCATCAGATGGACTCTGAGCTTATATTTTCATTTATGTTATAAAAAGAATTTGGAAGGCCAACAAAAATAATGCTTTAACAAATCTCTAGCAATTCGATCCACGTGTCTATAATTGATGAAAACCATAATATAATTAATAGGGCTTAACCACTTTTTTTTGAATGACTTTCCTTTATCTCTTTGCGTATGATCACGATGAGACTTAGTAATATGTGGTCTAAGTTTAGTAAATATCGCAACATACCTGCTGAATATTTACAGAGTTTCTATAAATAAAACGGTAACATTGACGGTTTGTATTGGTAATATTGACTGTTTTTGAATATTATTAGTGTTTTGATGTGCGGTAAAGTTAACATTCTGTCTCTCTCGCTCTTTCTCTCTTTCTCTCTCTATCTCTCTCTCTTTCAATCTCTCTCTTTCTCTTTTTCTCTAAATATCTGTGATTAATGTAAATAAAAAACCTTTAGGAACCCGCTAAATAATATTTTGAATAATGTACATAGATGACAGCGAAAGTTGAAAAGAATTCGTTAATAAAACCAGTTCATTTTGACTTTGCAACCTAAATATATATTATATACTCCCCTGGGCTCCGCATAGTACAATGTTATTAACGACTGAATTGTTTCCATTGACACTGATTGCGCTTTTGTTCTAAGTCTGGTTACTACGACAGCTTTAGACGAGATGTCTGCAACCTTAACCTTACTTTATGAGCTTATTTGTAATACGCAATAATATAGGTAGTACGAGTATTAAATGTAGTACTGTGTAATAATCTAATACATTTTTTATAATAAGTATTGTCACACAGTAAAAGCTTTTCTTTTAGAATGCTGGCCACAAAAAAGTTTATTGAATTCGAATTTCGAATTGTTCATGAAAATAAAAATGTATACTTTTAGAATTTTACTCATTTTTAAATATGGAGTGGACGCTTAAAGAAGACCGTGTTGCAGTTATTGCGTTGCATCGTTGCGGTTACGCGCCAATTCAAATTTTTAACATACTGAAAAATTTGAATATAACCAAAAGATTCGNAAACTCAAAATAATACTTCATATAGCCTACAAGGACGCTGTACCAATGCCCTATAATTGTTTAACATTGAAAACCTATAAAATTTACAAAGGCTGTATTTACAAACAATTTTACTACTCATATTTTCGTTTCCAATGAAGTGCAGATTGCGCCGCGCAATGTTTTCCGCTTGGATAAGCGCTGCTCATGCCATTGTTATATAACTTTGAAACAAACACACAACGAGCTCTCGTTTCGAGGACGCTCACAACGAATATATTTTAGAATGATCTTTTTGAGTTTTAGAATTTTCAAGAACATTGTTTATTTGTTGTTGTTCGATTCTAGCATTTGCTTTTCTTTCTATAATTCATTTAGGGCTTGATTTACAAAAATATGTTTTTTGAAGAAGAAAAAAAGCAATAAAATTTTTGGTTTATTGATAACTTTATTCTCGATAATAAAGAAATATACTTATATGTAATAAAGTAAAATTGTCAGCAAAAGTAATGAAAAGCTAAAATAAAGACGAATTGTGAATGGGATTTGAGGAATGCCTTGAGATGCGTACTCTTCCAGCTAAGATATTTTTTGCCTCGTACCATTTAACTTTAGAATGAACTCCACAATGGTTCCTGAGCGCGTATGTCTTCCGTGTAACCCCCGATCATCATTTTTTTTTCCTACCTAAGCTGATAGCCTTGAGAGGCTATTTCAGCGGAATCTTAACTAGTAGGTGAGCTCACGGGGCTCAAGCCTGACGACGTTGCTAACACGAACCCTAGCAAGAGCCGTGCTTCGCAGAATCTACCACCGGATTGGAAACGCGACCCACTGAGAAGATTCGGCGAGAAACTCAGTGGGCTGCGTCTGAGGGTTAATTTACTCGTCGAGCCCTTCGTCGCAAGCGACGGGTTCGACGAGAACGGTGACTGGTGCTTGAGGTACCTAAAAGCACCGTTAGTGGATCGGGAGGATCCGAAATTACGTGTTTGGGGCGACATCGACTGCTTTCCATTCTTTCCGCAGGATCGGGAATGTAGTTCCGGCGGTCACGATGAGAGGGTTCTCGTGTCGCCCGATCATCAGCAGCTGGTCACCGGTATCGGAATCGGATTAGAATATTTTATCATCATCACATTCTTTAAATGGTTTGTCTGTAGTTGGTTGTAATCTAAAGTTACACATAAGGGACATCACATATTATAGAGCTCGCACCTTGTCTGTTAATGTTGTACGGTAAATAAATAAAAAAATGGACTGACCTGTTTCATATCATTAACATTTAAGATCTTGCTGGTATTAGGGTAGAGTAATTAGAAGCTCGTAGTGCAAAGTTCGACTGAATGACTCAGCATCAAATATCGACTGATTACCCAACTAAATGCNGTTACACATAAGGGACATCACATATTATAGAGCTCGCACCTTGTCTGTTAATGTTGTACGGTAAATAAATAAAAAAATGGACTGACCTGTTTCATATCATTAACATTTAAGATCTTGCTGGTATTAGGGTAGAGTAATTAGAAGCTCGTAGTGCAAAGTTCGACTGAATGACTCAGCATCAAATATCGACTGATTACCCAACTAAATGC